TAATTGCATTTTTTCGTCGTGGTTGTCTATTTTCTAGTTGTACTGTAAGTGGTTTGGGTACGGATTTAACTGCGGAATCAGGCATATCAGATAACAGTACGTCGGGGCAAATGCGTTTGGACGCATTTTGTTGGGTCACGCGTGATAGTGGGGTCACGCGCGATAGTGTGGGTGTTGATTAGGGCTATTATATTATAGGTAATTAATTATACGTGTACTCCGTCTCCGATGCTACGTATTACTTCGAAGTACTAGTATGACAAACCATTCAACTAATATCATCTTGAAAACAGCGAAAACGACCACAGAGCTCTTATACTAACTACTACTACGTAGTACTATATAGTAATACTGTAGTATTTCAAACTACTTCATATTAATAATACTTCTTCGTATTGTATTAAATAGTAGAACCTGCCCAATCGCTCTGAACCGTGACATTTCATTGGTTGATCTAAAATTTCTTGTCACTGATTGGCTAGATATGCTTTCTTTGTTAGCCAATCAATTGTGTTACGAAATTCTCAACACCAAAGCTCAATCCAGCTTGGATTTTGAATTTAAGGACATTGTCATACAAAGTGCAAGTGTACCCCCATCGAGTTCAATATATATTGGTTGCAATATATATTGGTTGAAATGGACATTTGGCAATGATGTGCGGCCATGAAGCAGGTCTCCAGTTCACGACATTCCAACGCCCCAGTAGACCACGATCAAGTTGGACAAGCGTACGCGATGCCTGGCGTCGCCCGAGTGGATGTCGACTACAACCGCCACTGGTCAAGACAAATAGTCCAAATCTCTCATCTTCACCAGTCCCATCTCGCCGTACTCACAGAACGCTGCCACGAGCATTTCGTCCGACCCCTTTCTGTTGCTCCACGACACGCGAATCGGGCGTTGCTTGATGTCCCCTAAGCAACGGTGGAGGAGTTTGTCTGCAAGACTTGGTCAGATCGCACCGCTTTTGACGATCTTACCAAGCAAATGCGCGCGTTCTTGGGCCTGGTGTGCTCGTATGACCTGCATCTCCCCTGGCTTTCGCTTTGAGATCGTTGTTGGCGTGCTTGAATCGCTTCAGTTTCTCTGCAGAGCTGCCATCGTCACTTCAACACAAGTTAACTGTCAGACAAGGATATGTCATGCAACAAGGCTTACCGTCGCCGCCCTTGTCTGGATGATGCTTCAGAGACATCTGACGGAATGCCTTCTCCGCCGCATCGGTGTCCGAGAGCTGGGGTAGCCCAACGATCTCATACTCTCGTCGTGGTCATGCTTCGGCCTCCCAGACTTGGTCATGCTTCGGCCTCCCAGACTTGGTCACTTACCCAGCTTCCTCTTAGTAAACTACTACGCGAATGTTCTAGTACTACTACAATCTTATAGTACTACTACTCTGTTCTAATTCTCCGCACTCCTGGGTGTGTGTGTGTATGCGGCGAAGTCGTCGTGGAGAGAAGTTGGAGACGTTAGTCTTTGACGAGCTAGCCACGCCGTCTCTTCTATCTGAAGGCGATCGGCAAGTGCTGCGACCCGTGTTGCACGTCAGGTACTGCTACCGTTGGCTGTCCAAGCTTGCCCAACGCTTGCCCAACCTCCACCGGACACTTCCAGACGTGATACGAAAGCTCCATCCACCCCAGGTTCTGCGTGCACTCGTTTCGGCAGTGGACAGCGACTACCGAAACGAGTGCACGCACAACCTGAGGTCCACCACCCTCGCAGTGTATTCCCCCATTGGCGCGCCTCTTGGTGGACGAACTGGAGCTGTTTCCGTGCTTGTGTCGATTTGTGGACCACATCTTCTTTGTAGGTACCTACCTACCTACGTCTCCAAGAGCTTTCGTTTGCATTCAGCCAACATATATATATGACCCAACCACGAATGAAGTAGAGTCAGTCGTGCTGGTTGGGACCTCCAAGTTCACGGGACTACTCTGGTTCTCCATGAACCTGCTGGCCGTTGCTGCTGACTCTGCCACGTGTTCCAGCTGTGGGTTCACGGAAACAACTTAGTCGACCGCAACCCATAGCCGTGTGTGCGATGCTGTGGCTCTTGTCGCATGTGGTCAAGAGATGCTACTTGTACTAGTGTCATGCTATTCACGCCCTGGTTGGTTGCCCTAGATAGGACATTGTAACTTGTTATTACTGAAGCAATTTCTACGACTCTTTCGAATAATACACTTGAAATGGGTTGCATTGACGTGATGCATAGCCAGGGTCACCTTCTAAATTTGAGCGGAAAATATGTCGAAATCAACCCAAAAATGTGTTAGCCTGATCGAAGAATAATGTCAGTCGCCTTACTGTAACGATGCATATATATATATAATATATACTAGTATAATAAATCGAAGTATGTGGAATATATAATATATATATATATATATACTATGGGATATATGTATAATAAATCGAAGTCCGTGATAAATATAATACATATATATAAATACTACTACGTGATACATATATAATATATAATAATTCGAAATTTGTGATATATATATACCTCGAAGTAATATATAATTTGTGATACAGTATATATATACTATACAATATGTGATATATATATCTATGCATGGAACGACAAGATATTGTGAGCTTGTACTTGGCCTGGAGGGTCCAGCTTGGCGCGCTCGTCAGCCGGCGCTTACGTTTGGGACTTGTATACGAAGGCGGTGGACACATTCACAAAGGTCTTCACGTCCAGGGCTTTCAAGGAATTGTATGGAATAAACAAATGGCAGAGAGGATGGAGAAGTACCGCATTCCACAGCCAAGTCGCGGCACAGTGGAGGCACGCATGAGCAAGGGCGCGGGGGAGATTGAAGAGGTGCAGATAGATGGGAGGTGATGGATGTCCAAGGGAGTGGGGTCGTTCGGACCTTGGAGCTATAGACTGACATCTCGGCTCTCATTTTCGCCCGCCAGGTTGAACACCTGTAGTCGTAGGGTCTGCTTTGAACGCGCGATCCACATGCGGGTCCAGTCCGCTTACTCGACACTGTCAAACGCCGCCTTGTTCACTGTCATGGTCATGCCAACAGCTCAATAATGAGGAAGGAAGGAGATGCATGGAGGACTGTCGTCGTTCGTACCTAAAATACGACAACTATCTCGGACTTGTCCGGATGTAGCTGCACAGGTCATTGTCCACGCAGTATTTGACCAAGTTTCGCCCGATCATGCCCACGCCGCCAAGCACCAGGACGCGCGGCAAACTCGTCGCCATGATGCAATCCAAGGGTGGCGTCAATTTATGATATCAGCAGGAAAGTTTATGATGGTACCCCCTGAAATCATAGTCGGTCTATAGAAAACGACCACAGATAATTGTATGGATATATTATTCCAATATTCGATTTTGAATGATTTAGATATGTCAGAAATGTAAGAATTTTTTGAATCTGCATGTATTCACATGCAGATTTAATTTCAATCAATACAAGTGGGCTATATTGTCAAAATCAAAATAGCACATACAAAGTACAAGTACACGGCCTTCGATTTATCCCTGCAAACAAGTTCCTACCCTTTCGTGGAATCCCACTTAAATTCGGGGAAATTCATTATATTTCGCGACCTCAGCCACGAAATATATTGGATGTTTGCGAATCTAACTGAGCAAATCACGAAATATACTGGCAGTCCACGAAATAGACTGAGTGAATTCGACGTTCCCACGAAATATATGTTCATAACACTTCAGTGATCAGCGTAGCATGACCCACCTTCCAATTACACTGACTATGACATTGCCTTCAGGGAGAGTTCTGCCGAATGTAATCATGTTTGATTGGACCCTGAGAATGAGGTATTCTCCTCCTTTGGATCAAAATCAGGACGGACTTGGCTATTTAGTCCGGACTTAAGGGCTAAGTCCGTCCTGATCTTGCTATTTGGTCCTGAATAGGCCAGATGTCCGATTTCAAATCAAGGGATGTGTTTCGTAATCGACACCTGTGAGCTTGGCGTGTCGACGAAGAAATCATGGGTAATTGGGTCCAGGATCCTGTTGCGGGTCGAGGACTTGGATCCTTCGTCAATCGAGAAACTCGCGGGATGTTGGGGTGTTTGAAGAACAAACAGCCAGCTCACACGAAGTGGGAACGCAAATTGCATCAAGTTATTGAAGTCAGTCAAAGCCGGCAAAGAATTATTCGTCACTTATGGTCGTGGTTACAGGTTTACAGCTCTTAAATGAACATGAATTTACATTGGTGTCGTCCTATCATAATTCATTGACTGCATCGCCGGCCAAGCCATCCTCTTCCACCCCCTCGATAAATGTCGTCATGGCCTCATGCAGCTCGGCTAACCGAACAGAAAACACGTGATGCGCCATTATCACTACTACTGGAGTACTACTGGAGTACTGTTGATACTACAGTACTACTCGGAGTACAACTATACTAACGTTACATATAGTAGTACGTAGAAGTATCATGCAAACCCCTTCCTCGTTTTTGTTGTTGAGAAATGTATTACTAGTAGTAGGTTTACTCAAGTTGAGGGGGGGGGTAGTCGAGTGAGGAGAAGTTGGCCATGGACGGGGGATACGATGAGTAGTTACGGTGGTCGTCCGGTGCTGGTTTGGTTGGTGGCGGCGGTGTCGGGAACCAAAAGCGACGGTGCGATTGTGGGGGAAGGGCGCAGCCCTAGGCCCACTGCGGCGAGGAACATCCACGAGGGAGTTTCAGGCGGCTTGGTTGGACTCTGGTTGCAGGGTGAAGTTCCAAGTGGAGCTAGTGGTCATCGTGGCGAAGGCGGCTGCGAAGGACGCTACCCGCTGTTGAGCGAGGGGCATGGCACAGTGATCCCGGATCTAGTCGTTGCCCGCTAGTTGGCTGGGCCAAAGAATCTGTCGCCATTCTCCTAGAGCGGGTCAGCGATGAGTGGAGATGGTGAGCCGCGGCTTGCAGGGTGGGTGGCATGTGGCATGTGACACGTCCCAGGTAAAGAGAGCACTTGTTTTCGCGGCCAGAAGGAATGCAGTGGTGGCGTCGCGATCGAGCTGAGAGCGTTGCCGGAGCACGCGAGGGCATTGCCGGCGAGCATGTGATGATGGTGTCCACTTCTCGTGCGCGCTGTAACAGGCGTGCTGATGCGTGAGTAGATGCGAGAATGCGATGGCGCTTGCCCATTTTCCAGGGGCGCGGCTGTGGCGCACGTACTCTTTGACATCAGCTGTAAAATGAATGGCGAACGTTTTTAATATTTTTAAAATATCATGGAAATGCATCCGGCGCGCCATTTCCACATTTTGCAAGACATGCATACCCCATTCACCAGGTTGGGCGCCGGTTGATGTATCAGTACTTAATGTACCACTACATGTCTTTTGTTCTCAAAACCCCAAAACGAAACTCACTGCTCACCGGGCCCTTAAGTCGGTGGGCTCAAATCAACTCGAAGTAACAATTTATTTACTCGGTGCGTGTAATTTTCAAGTACTTTGGCGCGCCACGGATTGCACTTCGGACTGCCAAGTACGAGTCAAATTCAATCCTACTAGATCTCGGATCATCGAGGTATTCGATCTCCAGAATTTTTCCGAACTTCGCGAAAATGACCTCCACCATGTGTTTGGTCGCAGACTTGTGCCAATTGCTGACGAGTATCGTGGTCGGGCTGAGTCGCGGTAGCTCGTCCACGAGAATGAAATTGCTTGCAGCCTCCACCAGCTTGGGACTGAGGCTGGATTTGAAGCCTACATTTCGATGTGACATACAGCTGTAGACCCAACAAAAATCAATCATACTCAAAACAGTAACCTCCATATTTTCAACGTTTCTCAACTTGGCCACTGGTGCTGCAAAGTCGCCATCCCCTGTTTGCCAGGAATGAGTTCTGAATTCAAGAATCAGATTTACCTGTGGCAAGGATTAAGTGATCGCACGACTGAAGCCTCCCCATATCATAAGCAATCCTACAACCAATAAATTATAAAAGGGCGAAAAATGCAATAATTACCCAGCGTCAACACCAGACTGCACATTGAAGGTATACGGTTGGTTGTGGTTGACTTTGATTGTCTTTGACTTCATGGGGAATTTTTGAACAAAGACCTAACAATCGTTGAATGTGGGGACACTCAAGTGGAAAATAGACGTACCATCCCTGGCAGTACAACTTTCATTCCGTTCACAATACTCTCGTCCATGCCATCGTCGTCAAACCAATGCACCTCTGGAAACATGATAAACTCATCATCCATTGTTGTAAACACACCTGAAATGGACTCTTGAAGTCGCATCTGAATCTCGTCGAGTAATTCTGCAAAATCAATGTCCGACTGTGTCTACAGTAATTTTGTTTTAAAATCTCTAGAAATTGAAAGAATATGTATCCTTACAGCAATGGTCAAGTTCGATCCGTCTATTAACGTAGGGTGAGCGATTTTCACTACAATGAAATGCCCACATACCAATGAACATGACTGTCCGTCGCGGCTCTGGCAACGCCTTCGGTTTCCACCACTTCAGGTCTGGTTGGATCGACACACCATTTGTTATCTCACACGTCGAAAGTAGCTTCGCGAAGCACGTCCACTTGACGCATATCACTGGTCCGGACGTCGCTGGCTGAAGTTCGCCGCCCACCGTCCCCAAAATATGGTCGAAAATAATTGTGTCCTTCCCTCGGGCGTTCCAGTTCTACAGCAGTATATGATTGGTAATATTCAAACCAAAAGTACGTTTTTGGTACCTTCATCTCCATAGCCAGGTCTGGAAAACATTCGAGGTTCGCAATTAGGTTAACTACGTGGTCAAAAAAGGCACGCTCCTGGGCTAGGAAATGAAGCACATTCCAGCTCGTGTCTTCCTTAACGAAGCCATGGATGGCTTTGACTTGGTTGCCGCACATCAACACGTTTGCCGTCGTGTCACCGCCCTGTACGGCAATCTAAAACGAGATGAAGTTTGACACACCATCGTACTAGTACATACCGATCTCGCATATTTCACTTCGCTCATCAAACGAAGCACTTCAGCGCTGGCGTCGATATCCCAATCGAAGGAGTGTGGAATACTACGGACAAAGCGCATCAGGTCCTCGACGGCTTCAAGGGGAATCATCACAGGAACAAGAGATGGGCCTTGAGACGTCCTCCACTTGTTCGAGATCACTTTGCCCGAGCGTCCTTTACCTTGTTCGTCGTTGATGATCCTCGCTATGGCGGCAAATGATTCGCCTGACCACACCAACTCGTCGATGCGCCGGAGTTCAACGTCATCGAACGATTGACGATCTCGCTACAAGCATAGATAAGCCAACAAAAGGTGCATGTACTACGGACTGATTGATACCTTTCTGCCTTGCTGGTCACTCCTTGCTTGATTGCGTCGTCCAGGAGCTGCCATGTTCAATTTTATTGTTCGACCATGGCACTCAATATCATGACGCCAGTCGGTGATTGGTGGAATGCAATGCTCGGTGATTAATTGGAATACCAGGATTGATTACAAGCCGCAGCAAGGGGACTTGGTTTCACGTTCGCGGGGTCCTTGGTGGCCCCGTCCAGAAAGGAGCAGAAGTACTCGCACCGACGACACTCCTCGTGACCTTCATTGTGGTGCTGGTTCGACCATGGCACTCAATATCATGACGCCAGTCGGTGATTGGTGGAATGCAATGCTCGGTGCTTGGTTGGAATACCAGGATTGATTTTGATGCTTGTCAAGTTGAGGGGACACCTTGGGATTCTGGCTGCGGGGGTCGAAAATCGACGGGAATCCGATTGCTCCGAAACTCTCCCAGGGGATTGGAGGGGTCGAAAAAACGCTAGTCACAGTGTATCGACCCCCTGCCGGGCTGTATATTTCCTGGCGTTGGGCAGCTACGTTCGTTTCTGCCGTCATTGCTTGTGTTGGATAAATGCTGCTCGATCTGACGTGTTTTTGGCGGCGCCAGTGGAGCTCGTGTTGCTGCCCATGGCTTTTCCGGTAGCGCCACCACTCCGACAGCAGTCCAGCGCCCCAAGTCGCCTTGGGCGACGTCGTGTCGTTCCATCAAAATCTACCGCGGGTGTGCCGGCCACCACCGCGCCAGCTCACCAAAGTTGACAGGTTCGGCTGCGTCCTCGGCCGTGACGTCCAAGCTCATTCGCTGTCCGTGAACTCAGCCCCCACCACCACGTGTTGGGTCAGCTGCCTTCGCACGACCCCT